ACTGCCCGTTAGGCTATTACGAATTGGCATTTTTTTTTTTCAATATACACTTGAATAGCCAAAATTTTCGTGTTTGTGTCAATAATAGTCAAATTTAGAGAAATATCACTTATAGCCAGCTTTTAAAGTGGTTGTATGACAAATATAGTTATTTTCGTTATATACTTTCATGGTGTTATTAACATCGTCAACTTATTTGTTTATATTAAATCCACTTACATAATATATGAATTAAAAGTTAAATATAGATCACAAAACATTAATTTTCGTAAAATTATCTACAACAATATATAGATCTTGTATTCAATCAACAATCGAATAAATATAATTACTCCATATTTTTTGGGTCAAGATGGTGCAAATAACTTACCTTGGCCACATGTGGCTCTGCCACTGAGCGCCACATAAGCAACTAGTGTTACATCATAATTTAATACAAAAATTACTTTGCCTAAAAAAAATTATTAATTTTCCCCCCTTCGTCCCTTTCGTCTTATCCTCTTTCTGAATCCCTACCGGCGATAGTTTCCAGCATCGGTTTCTCAGTCGAAACAGAGGGGAAATCCAACTGTCAAAGAGCTGAGGAATGACAGATTAGGCATTTCCAAATCGACCTTCGCCACCCTGCACAATTCCGCATTTAAGCTCACCGAACGCTGATTGTGCAGGGTTCGTCGATTGGGAGAGATAACTCCTAAAAACTATCTCTCTCCAAGGTCCTCACGGGCTAGACGGCATCGGGTTAATGGGTGATGGCCATCCACAGTAACAGCGATAACGGCGGTGATAACAGCGACGATGGTGGTAAAGGCGTCAAAGGTAAGGAAAGTCCTCCTCTGGGTTTGCATGTCGAGTTTCTATTAGGATTTTTGGTTGCTTCGGGGTTTGGGGATTCTAACTATATTTAGTGTTTTGATTGAGGTGAGAAGGAGAGGAAGATTCAACCGGAAAAAAAGAGAGGAAGGATACAGAGGAATCGTCGGCGGCTAGGTTGGAGGTAGTTGGTGTGGGAAGATCAAAAGAAGAGAGAGATTGGGGAAGGTTGGAGGTAGATAAAGGGGAAGCTCGTAGGGTTTAAGGGTATATTAAATTTATTATTCATTTATTTATTATTATTTTTTTGATTTATCTACGTGCATGTGTTGTTGATGTAATATCGCCAAATCAGCATTTCTGTTTGTCCAGTTTGCTTGTTAGATAACACCGTTAAAGTATTGAACAAAAGTGTCTACAAGTGGTATTTCTCCAAATTTGTCTATTATTGGCACAAACGTGAAATTTTTGGCTATACATGTGTATTTTGCCAATTTTTTTAATAACAAAACAATCGATCACGACATCATATTATAAGGGGTCGTTTCGAAGTTGTGATTGTTTTGGTGCAATTGTTACTATATATGCATTGTTTAGAATGCATCGTTTTGTTATTTTGGGTAATGTCTATTTTTTATTCAAACCTTTTTCGGATTTTTTTATATTATCCAAACCTTTTAAAATTTTATTAATTATCCAAGTCTTTCGTAATATATCAAAATATTAGACATTTTTTACATTATCGTTAACAATTTTGTAACTCTTTTCTTAGTTAAAATACTAAAATTTTGAAATGTTGATCTTCATGAGTCTCTCCAAGTCAGTATCATGTTGCCAAGTCAATATTACTAACAAAATGGCTAACTGGAAGATAACATTTGGCTAATTTTTAGTATTCCGATAGGTTTGGATAATATAAAAGAAACTGAAAAATGTTTGGATAAAAAATAGACATTACCCTTTTATTTTTTACAGAAACAATACACTGATTGTTTTTGTGATGTGACAAAACTATCACTCAAAATGAGTGATTGTTATATCTCAACTTTGAGTTGTGATTGTTGAGATTGTTTTGTCTCAGCTTTTAGCTGTTATGGCATACACAATCACACATACAGTATTTTACAATGCATCAAATTAGCGATATTGAAATGACAATAGCATTTTAACTTCTTCCTTGGCTTGAAGAGAGGTCACCGGAGGAAGAAGATTGAACCAGAAGATTTTTTTACGAAGCTTTGTTAACGGAGTTGGACAGAGGCTAACGGAGAGTGACTAAATGTGACATGTTTCAGTAATTCGAGTGACATTCATAATAAAAAAAAAAAAGGTAATTCGAGTGACCGGAGTTGGACGGAGGCAACGGGAGAGTGACTAAATGTGACCTGTTTTAGTAATTCAAGTGACCAAAATTGATATTAATTTTTTTTGGTGACTAAACATAACACGATTTAGTAATTTCAATGACCAAATGTGGCATTTACAAGAGAAAAAGAATAATTCTAAACAATTGATTAAAGTGAGAAGGAAGGGGTGTATTAGTAATTTTATATCCACTTTAACTGTTATTGGATGAAAATATTAAGATAAGGGTAAATTTGTTACGATGAACGATATGAAAGTGTAGAACTTAGTCGCAGGTCGTAAGGAATATTCTATTAAAAAAAGCATGGTTGGAAGTTTACTATTCATTAAGTGTAATTTTTGTAATTAACTACAACTTTAAGGTCTTTCTTCCAAGAGTGACACATGGCACTATTTGATGGTTTCTCATTTTATTTTCATTTTCAATATCCTTTTTCATTTTCTTCTCATTTATTTATATTCATTTTCATTTCTTTTATTCTTATTTACCAAAAATTATGACGAAAAGAACTTCTTAATCCGTATTTGATTTTTCCCGTCTTATTTATCTGTTTTTCACTCGAGTTCGAATATGAACACAACTAAAAATTTATTTATCCTCCATGAAAAGAATATAAATGTCATTCGAACCAACAACACAAGTTGCCATGTTGCTCCTTCATTTTTCACTCATTTCGTTAAATATTTATGACTTTTTTTAAGTTTTATATCATTTTTTGTGAGGAAAAATAACTTCATTGTTCGTATTTTACTTTGCCCCCTTATTTATCTCTTTAGCGATTCGCTAGTCAAGCGCACACCCCCCCCCCCCCCCCAAATGGGAGAACGGAGTCTCCATAATAGTACTCATCGAAGAACAAAAGAATCACATTAATGAAGTCTCAACAATTCAAATCAAATTGGACAACCAAAAAGGATTTCAACTTGACTCTTTTGTTTGTTGTTCCCCAATCGATGTCGATTCATTAGCCAACGAGTCCATTTTTATTGTATACTTCAAGTTATTCCAAAATGAGTTTTCTTAATTCTTATTCAGCTGCTTAGAAGTTCCTATTCGTGGAATCTATTACCATGATTGATTTTCTCACCTGTTATTTTTTGCATCAATGAGAGTTGGGTCTGCAGGTTTTTTAGTTTATGTTTCTTACGTATTAGTTTATTCCCTCGCAAAATTTCACATTGCTCGCTTGACGCAAGACACAATGAGCTTACTTCTCTAGTTTGTTATATAAAAGGCTATTAACCCATTCAAAACCGCGGCAATCAATCACTATATTAGTTACTAGCTTATAACCCGGCCCGTTCGCCGGAATGTTCATATTTGATTATTTATGTTTTTATGTTACGTTTAAGTCTATCAACCTGTTTTATTTTATTGACAATCCTTCGATCGAAATGATACATGAAGAAAAATATATAGGCCGAACATTTGAAGAAACATCACAATCATTTAAGAATATGAAATATAAAATGTATCATTGAGCCATTTTCATAGTGATAATCAAGCCCCGTTAAAATGCTATTGGTTAGTTGATTGTCAAGAAAGATAGAGTATAAAAGCTCACTGGAATTCGCACAAGACCTATAGAAAACAACCTCACAAACCTACATACATGGTTAAATGCTCTCATTTTAGGAAAAATATGCCACTAATAAAAAAGAAATGGAAAGTTGTTGATTCAAGTCAACTACATACTAACTCAGCTAAGAGGGGACCATCAACTTGAGAGCAAACGAAAAATTAAGGTTAGCTCCAATATACTAACAGACTCGATCAAAGTAATAAGACACAAAATTAGACACTCATTATCTATTAGTTCCATTATTTTGAATAAAGAATCGACATGCTTCAGTAAATCAATCAATGATTCCTCGTTTTAAGATATAAATAGCCACCACTCTTTGTCGTACAACCAAATTCTTATCCACTCTATCGTCAATTTCAAGAGGCATATGTTTCGACAAAAATATTCAATTTCTAATCCTCCTTCTGCAACTACATTTATTGAACTCAATCTTATTCGGCATGGATTGATATCGAATTTGAAATCTTCTACTTGCCCAGCTTAAATACCCAACAATAAAATCGTAGTGCCAAGAGATACCAAAAGATTGATTTTCAAAGACGACCTTGTAATGAAAAGTGAAAGAGAATTTCGGAGGAAGTTAGAAAGAGATAAGAACAAAGTTAAAAACACAAAATTTATATTTAAATTAAAAAATACATACCGTAGACTTAGTGGACTTGCTAATCATGATGGAAAGGTTCTCATATTCAGAGTTTAACTTCGTGTATGGTTGTGATTGTTGTCTTTGTTTAAAGAGACTCGGGTTCAATTCTTGATAGACATTTTTTATATGAAAAAAATAATTAATTGTAAAGACCAAATTGTCCTTTTTACTTCCACTCTCGTTGCATAAAGAGACTCGGGTTCAATTCTTGATAGACATTTTTTATATGAAAAAAATAATTAATTGTAAAAATCAAATTGTCCTTTCTACTTTCACTCTCGTTGCATAAAAAGACTCGGATTCAATTCTTGATATTGACATTTTTTATATGAAATAAATATAATTAATTGTAAAGACCAAATTGTCATTTCTACTTCCACTCTCGTTGCAAAAAATTTGAAATTCAATTCTTGATATTGACATTTTTTATATGAAATAAATATAATTAATTGTAAAGACCAAATTGTCATTTCTACTTCCACTCTCGTTGCAAAAAATTTGAAATGGAAAAAAATAAACAAAACTCTACCATATATTATTGGAGGATTACAACATAAAACACCCGGCTCAACTTCCATCATAGGTCGGAAAGCCTACGTACCTATATTTGATGTTGTATTACTGAGAAACATATTTTGTAGCTTACCCTCCTCTAATCTAATGAACGCCTAGTTAGTTAATGTACACGGTGACGTCAGGTATATTTTATCCATATTTGATGTCTTTTCACTTTCAGTTTCTCCGTTATACAAGATCCATTGAGCGGAAACCCACCTGCTTTTGAAACACATCGAGCAACTATACGCATCCATGTCACCTGAATACCCAACCCAAACATTAGCAGGAGGCCTTCATCTTCACTCAGGTCACGAGTGTAACTTTCACAGAACCAGCTCATTGGTCGTGTAACATGGACAGGTCGGGGATCTGCTGAGCCTGGAATGCAAATAACAGACAACATACCAAGCAGAGCTCGATCTTTTCACAAGGAGAAACGCAAGAGTTAAATCCTCAGATTGAATGAAACCAGCAGGTGGTGTTTGATTACCTCATACCGTCAGGATGAGGAAGCCTCGAATACAAACGAACTGCTTCGCTGTGTCGAAGTTGCTATCTGGAGAACTGGCATCAAAAGCCAAGAGCTGATCCTCGCTTGAACGAACATCCAGCAGAATGAAGCTCCAGAGCTGATCCTCGCTGACTACTGTTCTCCAGCAAGACGTGGATCACACGGAACAGAAACATGCTCAAATCATCCATGTGTTGTAATCAATTGAACAGCCTAAACACAAGACAAAACTGATTGATGTACATCAACATTCACCCCATGACACGAAAATCTCCATTCACATGAGATGAAAGTCATGAAACACAGACCTCCAGCCCCATGGTAACAAATACCTTCAGGACGCTAGGCCGCAGCTCTGATATAAGATTTAGAAAAACAAACCCAGACATTATGATAGAAGAACTAGTACATAAACAGAGTTCCATAATCAAACATTCTACACAAACTTGATACAAAATATAGACCTTATGGCTTCACAAGGGACTACCTAAGCTTAACATACATTTCATCATCCCAACCAAAGTAGTGAAGTACTACTGCAACTAAAAGAATAATAGCTAAAACCCTACCTCCCAGATAAGCAAAAGGCCAAGAGGGAGTGTCATGAGAAACAGCGTAAGCAGAATTCTTCAGACTTCTTCCTGGACCAACAACAACACGCGAAAAGAACCATGTACATGAAAGTAAACCCCCTATCCATTGTGCAAATCGCAGAGTAAACACTCTGCCTAGGTAAGTCGGAAGAGACTAACATTAACGTGGGTCTATTAACTAATTAGAGATTAATCACCCAGCGCCAAATGCTCTTCTGTAAGGAAACCCTCTTATACCTGCACTTGTCCTGATCCACCATCTACTGTATCCTCTATGATGTCCTTCACATGACAATCACCACCCAATGCAGTTACCTCTTCCTTGGCAGTTACCTTTTCTGGCCTCACGTTATCCCTCGGTTCTTCCTTGTTAGCCACTAATGCATCACTCGCCAGAGGATCCCTACCCTCTTCACACTTGACCTCTTTCTTTTCAACAACTTCATCACCAGACTCCAACATACAAATATCATTGGTCTCTGACTTAACATCTTCTCTACTATTTTCATTCACATTATTCTCATCATTAGAGCACTCTCTATGTCCATCGGCAAGCTCCATCTTCGGCATCTCCTTGTTATCAGCAAGGCCATCTGACTCACCATGACTTTCGGACTCGTTCAAATCATTCTCGGAGACATTCTCCAAAATTTCTTCATTAACTTCCCCCATAACTCTACCACTCCTATTACCCTGCCCATGATGATGATGATGATGCCGCTCCAAAAACTGCATCCTCCTTCTCAGATCATCCAACTCCCTCTCCATCAAAAACATCCTCTCCTTCAAGGTCAAGTTCTCTTCCTCTAGATGTGCTATATGTGTGTCCTGATCATCTACCCTGTTCTCCAAAAGGTTGTTATAACTATACTCCCCTCCAGCATTACTAGGATATATCATCTCAAACCTACTCAAATCATGATCCAATCTTCTCTCAACCTCCACATGTTCCTCCACGTCACTCTCACTCGACCCACTACCTTCATCTTCCTCGTCATCCTCGTTCACCTCCACCTCGTGACCCGGCGACCTCAACCTAATCAAACCTTTCATCGACCCATACCCATCAACTCCCCATTCTTCCTTAGCCACATCACCAAGCACCTCCATCGGGTGAATTTCAATGTCCGGTGTTGGCAGTACAGCAGGTGTAACAGGACAAGGCGACACGAGCGACGCAATCCCACCAGACTTCTTAGCACGAATGATGAACGACGTGCTATTCCTAGGGGCGTAAGGAGCATAGCGATTGTTATACTTCTTCTTGTTATGGTGATAGTGCTTCTGCGTTTTCATCCTGTTCTGATTTTGCAGCTCGTTAAGACTGGGCGGAATGTAGCTCGCTCCTCCAACACCACCACCAGAAGAACCAGTCAAGCTGCTGCCACCACCACTAATGTTGCTATTGTTGTTGGATATGTTATTAGACATGGGTTTCCCCATCCTTCTGTCCTTATTCTTACCCTTCCAGTTGTTGTTACCCGTTCTGGGCTTTGACGGCGGCACAAAGTAACCAAACTTCCCAGGATGCAGCTGTTGCTGCTGCTGATTCTGCTGCGGCGGCCACGGGTTGTACCCTCTCTGCTGATTCTTCATCATCATCTGCTGGCTCATGACTTGGCCATGACTCAACATCTGCTGAGGCTGGTTGGTAGGGTTCATCATCTGTGGCTGAACCTGAACAGGGTTCATCAGCTGCCCTGTCTGCCCGCCCATGCTCATCGCCATCACCGGTGGAGGAGGCGCCTGGCTCATAATCGGAGGGCCCGTCGGAAGCGGATTCATCACCGGACCCGCCCGACCCGAACCACCGCCCATCATTTGCGGCTGATTCATCATCTGCTGCGCCTGATCATTCATTGACCCAGTACCAAAAACAAAAAAAGAAACACACAGCAGAGAAATCAGATCCCGGCAACCAAACCCTAGAAACCTCGATTCCCCTAGGGTTTTTCAAGGGGAAAAAGCAAAAGGAGAACCAGATCAGAAGGGGGGAAAAAAGACGATTCAACTTTCAGAGAATTATTGTCCCGTCCGCTGAAGTTCGTTCAATTTCCAATTCAAATTCGCGGGGGGTGGGAGACGAGATCTGATAATGGAATCGGAGAAGAAAGGGCTCCAAATCTACAATTTTGTCTGTTGAGATTAAAAAAAAAAATGGGGAGCTTTTTGGTAAGCTTCGTTTGATAATTATATTCTTCTTTTCGTGACGCACGGATCTCGCGTTAGTGATAGGGGAGGGGTGGGGTGCCTTAATTAAATAATAATGGAAATTGAAATTTAATTCGGAAAAGGAAACCTCACTGCTTCGCCGAACGTCTCATCGTAACTCGGATGGGCGACGCGTGGACGGCTGAGATTGATCGGTGGTGGGCAGGGTAGGCAATGATGACGGTAGCTGGCCTTTTTGGTTAATCGTCTTGGAGATGGATATGTCATATGTGGATCAGGTTCAACAGGATTCTGTTTGGGCTGATGCCCAAATGCAAATTTGGACCAAGACGTGAAATTGGCTTTTCTTGGTAAAGCAAACTAAAGGAGTCCAGTTTTATGCGATTGAAAAAGAAGGGGAAAAAAAAGTCCAGTTTTAAGCTCGATCCAGTGTGAAAATAACAAAGGCATTGTATTGGGCTGGGCTGGTGCACTTGAAGATGGAATGAGGAAATAAAGGCCAAAAGAAGCCCACACTAGCGTCAGCCGTAGTCCAGCCTGGAGTTCAATTATGAGAGTTCTTTTGTTCAGAGCCATCTTAATGAAACTAGAAATGGCCCCATTGGCAGGATGAATTACAACAACGGTATAAGAACTAGGGTTAATACAATATATTACCCACAATTATTATGAAGCGGGAAATTATAGCCACAACTATGAAAATTCAAATTATTAGTCATAACTATTGTTGCAGGTCAAGATATGGCTAACTGTCCGTTACTGTTATTGAATTTTTGACGGAGAAGGTCACGTCATCGACCACGACAGCGGCCACGTAGGAATACTTTTAGTTTATAACTTCAAAATATAAAAGTTTAGTCAGTATTACTAACAAAATTGTTAACAGATAGTTAACGTTTGGCTAATAATTTGAATTTCAATATTTGTGGCTATAATTCTCCGCTTCATAATAGTTGTGGCTAAAATATTGTATTTACCCTAAAAACTAATTGTAATTATATGAATCATTTATTTCACACCGTGATCAATAGTCTCCTACCTTTCATAGAAAACCATTTTAATGGAAAAATATTTAAAACCGTGAACATCTTTTCACGCTTTTAGAATTTCAACTTATATAAATCAAAAATATTATCAACCATTCGTTATTTCCTCCCATCACAGATATTTCTATATTCACCATCAAATGAATGCACTACCTATGATATTAGCATACTTTTCCTTCTTCTCCTGCATTTCTTTGAATGTAAATATTCAATCGCAAAATTTTTTGAATTGTGAAAACTCCATTTTCAAGAACTTAAATTTACCTAGTACATGTCATGAACTTTGTCTGAGATTGCTCTTCTTCATCTTTCATTATCTTCAAAATTGTGTACTCACTTAGGGGCTACGCGATGGTGTAATCGGTGAGCTTCATATAAAAATTTAACTCCATGCTCTCTGTTTGTATGAGATGAACAGGTGAAACTTCTCTCAAATTTTCACTATCTTTGAGTAGTTTTTCAATAACCATTCCAAAAAATCTAGCTTCCTCATGATACAGAACAATGAAGTTAGATTAAACAAATGTTGTCTACAACTCACATCTAATCCTAAATCTATAAAATAACAACAATTAAGATACATTATTTAGTCGGAAAATTTATATTTTAGTGGGTACGTTGTTTTTTCTCTTATAAATGAACTTGAAGTTAAAAACAATTAAAGAGTAGAGGTAGATTTTTACCTTACCACCATTGTCTTTGATGTTGTTATATAATTCGTACAAAATTGCTCATCATAGTCTTCTTTAACATTTCTTCGGAAAGTTACAATTGCTATGGTTTTTTTAACTCATTTAAAATAAGAGTTGAAACGAATGAGATATAGTCTGCTAAATTTGAGAGACAATGAAAATCTCTTAACTATAGCTCTTGAGATTTGTGTCGTTTGTAACTAAAGGAGGTTATGCTCTAAAATTCCGACCCTTTTACTTGACTTTTTGAAGATCGTACTGGAACGTTGTATCGTAATTCGTAAATAAGATGATTCTCCAAGGTGAATATATTTTAATGCGCAGAATCAATAATATAGTACTCAATAATAGTATGAATTGACTTCAAAACTCCAAATAATATTGACGCGGTTATAACATAACAAAATAATATGTTACTGTCAAATCAAGGTTTGATAAGAATTATCATCGCACTAATATAAACCAAGCGAAGTTATGGAAAAGAGCAAACGAAGTTGTCGATTTCCTACTATCATAAAAGAAAACTATACATAAAAATCTAGATCTAAGGTGATATGATCTCATAATTTATTATCGTTTCCCAAAAAAAGAAGATAAGAAAAAAATTATTTAGCTAACCGATTTAATTAAAAATCATTGATACTTACATTCATAAACCTCCTCACCATTATCAATTCTCACTAATGCGTTGAGTTTTTTGTTTTGTATATATGTCATGAAAAATCTCAAATCCAAAGTTTAATTGAAAGTATTTGATTTGTTTAGTTAAGTAATGAAGGATTAGCAAAGTCACACATATAAAAATTTGTCTCAAATACTTAATTTTATAATAAAAAAATTAAATAAAAATAACAAACCATATGTAGACACTCACAACCTCATAACAAAAGAATTAGTTAATAATATAGTAATTGGATATAGAAGGATAAGGACACCTCCATCGACTTTCATTCTCCACTTTCATTCTGACGTGGATATTGTGTTGCAATTGTAAATTCTATTTCACTGATGTATGAAGTGCTTGCAACTATGCAAGCTTTCATATAATGAAAGTCTGGATGCAATTCAACGTGGCTGGCTAATGGCATTTTGTTCCTTTCTTTTTATTTTTTTAATATTATTTGAATACTATAATATATATTTTAGGTGTGCTATTTTTTGGATTGCGATTACAAGTCAATTGCATTGATATAGGTATAATAAAAGTAAAGTGAGTTGGCTTGCAAAAATAATGTTGTGTAAAAAAAATCACTAATGCAATTACACCAATGGAAGTGCTCTAACAAAAGAATGATTTAATAATATAATAATTAGTTTTAAACAGGTTTCTAACGTAACCTTTTTCATTAGTATGTTTGTTTATTTACTAATTAAAAGGACAAAAATATCCTTCCTAAATTTACTCAGAACGCTGGAAATTTAGAATTAAGCATCTTTTCATGGAGAATCTCTTTATATTAGTATTAGGAGGATTAGGATTTTGTTCACTTTCAGCATAGTTAGTAAAATACGGTTCGGGAAAGTTACGTATAAAATACGTATGGGTAATTTATTTCATCTCTAGATGAATGTTACGTTTAATAGTAAGTTAATAGTCATAAATGTATATAAATAATTATTTTAAAAATACATAAATATATAAATAATAGTAAAGTTAACAATTTAATTCATTAAATATGAATATTACGGAAGCCATCAAATGAACGGGAGAAAATGAAACGGCTTGACAATAATACATATACAGAAGTTTTAAACGGATAAAATACATAAAAGTACATATACGTCTATTAAACAGAATATTTAGTGACTATGCTTTTCAGTTGGTGTGGTATATATTGTTTAAGTTATTAAGTCTTGCCTGGAGCAATTTTATGATGTGATATGGGATGGAAATGAGAAATTTGTACTAAAAGGAGCAAGGGGTTGTTTGGATAGCTTAATTTTCAATGTGGTATTTGTAGAGTCAAATAACTTATTAATTGTTCATGTGGTATTTCAGTGTTATTTCAGTGTCATTTCTTCAGACCACAACCCATTCTTCACTCTCTCTCTAAAATTATCTCTCTAACCCCTGCCCTCCCAAAAGCCTAGGAAATAGTGGTCTGTTGGTTGCGGCTAAGTTCGATCTGCCATCAGAAAACATTTCTTTGGTTTTTCCCTCAAAACCCGCCGAATATTTGTCCGACTTTCGCGAAAAAATGGACGAGTGGTTCCAAGGAGAGGGAGTTTATTATGATGAATTTCAAGCGGTACGTAGTCATTATTCCGGTCAATTTTTGTTTTTGTTATAAGCATTTTAATTAATCTATGTACTAACCTTGTTCTTATTCTCTCGTAGGTTGGGGACGACGTGGATAGGAATGGCAATGGGGCAGGTCCGGGGCGGGTTTCTTGGTACCCAGACCCGCCCCGTGGCAGGTCGGGTCCAGGTCGGGTAATTTATCACGGGTCACGGGTCGGGGCAGGTCGACCCAATGGGTAAGCAATTTATATGAAAAATATTAGAAATGTTCGTTATTTTTATTATAAGACCATGAAAACAAATAATATTATGATAAATATAGTTAAATTATTGGAGAAATTGAGGTTTTCACTAATTTACAACTTTATTGCAGCTAAAATTTGATTTAGTAAAAGGAAAATCCTAAGTAATTTGACTAAAATTAAGTGTAATTTAGGCAAGAATGGGGCGGGTCAGGGCAGGTCGGGTCTATGAGAGTACCCATGCCCGCCCCGCCCCACCTACGGGGCGGGTTGGACCCGCCCCAAAACAGGTCAAACAGGTCGGGTAAAACGGGTCAGGTCGAAATTGCCATCCCTAGACGTGGATATATACAACCAACGGTACTATTGGGATCAATGGCCTATTGTTCCAACCGACTTGTACGACCAACCCAACCATCATTCAAGGGATGTTTGAAACGATCACCCGGTACATACAATTCTTCAT